AGGACTCAGATATTAGGGCCTTTCGCACCGCTTTAGTTCCAGAACTAAATGTACTTTAGTCCTTGCAGTTCAGGAAACGGTGTTTCCGCAGCGCCACTCAGAATGATTACTCACACTATTTTCAGCGGCAAGTCAATAACACCGTCGTTTAACAACACTACACAACCAGCTGTTGTCTGGGGCAGGAGACAGAGGACGGAACAGCACGACACCCATGGCGGAGCTTCACGACGTTCCGGCTCACCACGCAATCTCCTGCAGCTGGTCCCAATCAAGCGCTGCCAGAAGGAGAGAGACACAGAGAGAGAGAGACAGAGAGAGAGAGCGAGAGAGAGAGAACAGCACAATCCGTAGCACACAATACAACATATACAATATATACCAATGCAAATAAATAAAAATAATAACTTGCGTCGAAGGAAGTAACACTACTTTGAAAATAATAAAAAACTTAAATACAAAAAAAAAAAGAATTAAAAGCCATCATCTGAGGAAAACTGAAACAGATGGCATGGCTTGATAATATGTGACACTTCATTGTGAAAACCTGCACAACTATTTGTTGAACGATTTGTGATCAGATCTCGACAACAAAACCTCATGACCTGAAGAACTCTCAGTAAATGAAACTCAGTTAAAACAGTGATTTCAATTTCTGCTTAAATTGATTATTCGTCATCTTGGATTTGTTTTTCCACCCTTTCTCCTTTTTGTTTTATCTTCTTATCGCAACCAGCTCATTGCGCCATAATGAAAGGCACAGTTTACCAAACAATACAAATTCTGTCATCATTCACTCACCTTCATGTCATTCCAAACTCTCACAGAGTGCATTTAGTGTTTATTTTCCAGACAATGAAAGTCCAATGTGTTCTAAACAAGAAAAAAAATGCATACAGGTTTGGAAAAAATACATTTTTCTATTAGGTATTTCATTATTTTTGCAATAAAGATGCAATAAATGTTAAACAATCAATATAATATACATTGTTATAGCAGTCTACAATATGAGTTTGACTGTTTTATAGGTTTCATCATTTTAATCAAGAACAAAACACCCCATTATCACTTGCTTTCAACGGAGGTATTTCATAAGACTGCATGTTTAGGGAGGAATGCAATGTTGTGTGGTATATCCAGTTTGGTAAAAGATGGAATGCATTAAAAATGCACCACCACCGTGCGGGTTTGTGTCATGTGACTCAAAACAGAGCTAATAAAAACGTGAAATTTGAGGACAGCAATTATTTCCTTTTATCGAGGGACTTACAACTTCACCTGTGTGTAAGAAATTGCACTCAGGTACAAAATGGATTGGGTGAGTTTGACTTATTTAAGTATTACTATAGCCATATATTCTGATTTATACCATTTAGAAGTCTTTTTTCTTAATTGAGATTATTTGTAATAATTTAATTTCTTTTTTTTCTTTTATTATTTTTATTTAATTTACTGCTTTAGGACTGGAATTTAAGTCATTTCATAATTTTAACTTCCATTCAAATGTTTGGAATCAGTGCGATTTTTTTTTTTTTAATTAATACTTTTATTCAGTGAGGATGCATTCAATTTATTAGGGGTGCTTCGATCAGGATTTTTGAGGCCGATCACCGATCATCAACCACAAAAAGCAGTATCTGCCGATACCAATCTTTTTAAAGCCTTCTTTTTATCATGTAGAATTATTCATAGTGCTACTCCAATCAGGATTTTTAGACATTTGTTCAGGGCCTGAATTTCATTTTTGAAATTTTTTAATTTGAGGGGTGGAGGGGGGCATTTATTTTATATATATATATATATATAT